CTTAGACAATTGCCCTCACATTCAATTCAATTATATTTTAAATCTAATTCAATAAAATTTATTATTTATGTTTACTGTTGTGTATATTGTTTGTTAATATATGAAACAAATAAGTATTGAATACTTTCAGATGACAGTATCCATTATTATTACTAAAGCATCCAAATCATGTAAAAAGGGTCATTTTAAGAGAGTTTTATTTGAACTATAAATAACTATTTGATGGGTTCGTAACTATTTTAATGATTTTAGAATTTAAGCATAATTTGGGCGTAATCTTGAGATTTTGAATTTGAAATATAGAAATATTTATTTTTATTGACTTTTATTAATAAAGCAAACTCAAATTGATTATACGGTCATTAATAATAGAAATAAGGTTTAGCCTACCTATAGATAAGTTCCGTATTATAACTTATTGTACTTTTTTGGTTATGTATACATACATACCATAGTATATTCTTTTAAATTTTCATTTAATATATGATTTATTAGCTAGCTTAACTAATTGAATGAACTAAATCGTGTATTTATAATATAAAATTTACTAATTTAAATAAAATTTATAATTTATTACAGTCAAAATCTACGATGCGCATACATAGTAATCCGGGCCACATTAACAGTGACAAAACTGTGAGGATTATAACATTAGTCAGTATAGAGATTAATGTTAAAATATGTAAAGTTTTGTCACTCATAGTGTGGCCCCAAATGGCTCCAGTGTGCATCGTAGGTCAAAATAGTGTGCAGGGCAGTTTATTCTTCCATAATATAATTCAAAACTTTTGTTTGTGATGTGTAATGATATCCTTGATAATGAATAATATATAATGGTTCATGAGTAATATAATAGTTTGTGCAGTACTTTGCACTTTGGTACTGTACTGATAATACACCGGTAATATGCAGTTTAGCGTTGCAATCATCACTTTATTATATGATTATATAACACAAAATAGAAATAGTTTTAAAGGAAATTATTTTATTGATATCGAAATACAATGAAATTGATTACAAGATTGATATTCAATCAAATAAAACACTACATTCACCACTAATTAATGATTATATATATTAAGGATTAATACCACAAATTATAGCATCGGTTAAAGTGATTAAATAAAGCAAAAAAAGATCAAAGGGTGCACGAATATAAATATTGGTGTCATTTAGTCGAGAAGGTTGTCGTTGAGGACCCGGATGTCCAACATCTGCAACTGAAGCGCTTTGTTGGCGTCCGAAGCGAAGGCTGCCTTCGCCAACGGGAACACCACTTTGAACTCCATCTGCAGCTTCTGGAGCTGAGCCCTGAGCTCGTCGTTTGCTTTGGAATACTGGTCCTGCAGGTCATCGATGGACTCGAGTTCTGCCCTCTTTTTGATTCGGTATCGATTGGCAGCGCTTTTGTTCTGATCTCTCTTCCGCTCCCTCTTCTCAGTGACCGTTGTTTTGTGACGTTTGTTGGCTTTGGGTTTGGGTTTGGTTTTAGGCAAACAAACATCCATTTCCTTCGCCTTACGTTTGGTTTGTCTGCGTTTAGGCGTAGCGTTCATCTCAACAAACGAGGTGTCAATCGATGGCCACTCTTTGGACACTTCGGTCACCGATTGGATGCCGAGGTCGGCGTCCAAACAGTCCTCAGTGTCCGTAGAGTTGGCCGAAGAGGACGACAATATCTCCTCCAATATAGTCATCGCCGAAGTGGTGTCGAGTTCTTGAGCGGCAAAATCCAACTCCGATTCAAAGTGATTGCCATCACATCCATCACTTGGTTTCGGAGACAACGCTTCCAGTGATTGTGGGCTCAGGAAAGCCGTCGAATCCAAGTAATCGACCAAATCATCGGTTTTGCTCTGGTAATGGGTGTCGACCTCTTTGGTCATCGCCTCGAGACTCAGCTCGGGTTCATAGTTGAGGCCCAACTCGAGACCATCGCAAAGACCTCTGAATACCTCGAAGTCTTGGAGCCACTCGTCATCCGATGTCACTAATTGTGGTGATTGTGGGGTTATATAGGACTGAGAGGGCGGGCAGTCATTGCCGAAGAATGACTGTTCCGGTGGCCAAAGGCCCGCTTCCAATGCCGTCTCCATCGACAGCCGATTGGCTTTGTTTGCAATCATTGGTTATGATATCAAGTGATTCTTCTGAAGACTTGGTTTGAGTCAAATGTTTGGGTAAGAGGTGTGAAAAAGACCTGAAGACAGACATCATGACCGTTAGTATCATTACCATCATTACCATCATCTGCACCATTGGTGTCAACACTTACGCCATGTTTACTGTTGGGTTACTTCGCGACACCATTGGTGCGCTGTTTGTCTTAAGCAACGATTAGTCCATAACTGGATGTCTGTCGCACTCGATGTATATCTTGTTTGTATGGCTTTTGACGCGAAAATGGAGTCAAAGCACAGGAAACGCACGCAAAGGAGAGCATTCACGCCGTTTGCGCGCAATCGCACCCAATCTCTCCACTCATTGGTCGACTATCGCGTCATCCTATTAGCCGATTGGTCGCCAATGTCTTCGGTAACGCCGAACCAGTCAGTCGTATATATCGTTACTGCGACCGACTGTTAGAGCCCTTCATTCACTGCCAATTGATTCGTATGTTTTGCAATGGGTTTCCAAATAACGTTATAATCCATGCATTTATCATGAAATACTAAACCGTAAACATGTTTTGGGGTTTAGTTTGCATTCATTCAAACAATTGTCAATTAATTACTATCAATACCTATACGACATTGACGTCAACATCACTTCAATGACATCTCCTTTGGTATAAAACAGTTGCCATACAGTGATAGTGTGGTGAATGAGGGTTGGGTTGGGGTTGGGATGCAATGCAGACCTCTATTGTGCACTAAAAGAGTGCATACTTTGCAATAGAAAGCTATGATTGCATCAGAAAAACAGTTAGCTTTCTATGCATTGGATGTATGGCTAATGCATAGCATAGGGACGGGAATGGCATTAGAGTTGGACTCAAACTTGTCGTTCAAAACCTGTTGGTTTCACCGAAAGCTATACTTCATTAACAACACTATTATTAAAGTAATGATTGGTTTAGGGATTGAAAAGTTGAGACACAAGAGAGACAAGTGTTGGCAATATATTTGAAGAGTTGGGCTATACTTAGGACTAAAGCAAAGAATGCAAACTATTTGCACACAAATGAGCCTGCACCTATGGTCCGGCAAAACACATGCAAATGACCGCAAACCTGGTGTAGTCTAGACTTGAATGTAATGAATGGACAGTTAGATAGTATGCATAGTGAGGGGAATGTCTAATAATACTGACATTGCATTGAAGGCTACCGTGAATAATAGGAAAGAGTTGGTCATCCCATGGATTGCATCACAATTACATCATATATGCTAAACACTAAGACATGGGTTATATAATACATTTAGGATTCACATATGCTTTTTATATGGCCTCTAATTGTGTACCCAAAATGTACTCACATTTTATAAATAAGTTTTAATAAATTCAGAATTCTAATTAATACAATATTAATGCTTTTCATTGATTTATCTTGACACTTTTGATAAATATGTGTTAAAATTTTCCATTTATTTTTATAAAAATTTAATTTATCTTATTAAATGCAATAAAAGTATTTTTCTAACGTCAAGAGTATTTGAAGTGATAACATATTGATAACTTATAATAAGTTATTTATTGCAAACTCTTAATATATAGATATAGGTATTAATTATAAGCATTGAATTTATTATAAATCAAATAGTTTCCTTTAAAGTCTTATTTCAGATTTAATAGATTTCAGATTTGTTTGACTTTAAGACCTGTCATTGAATTGATTTGATTGTCAGATAATTAAAGAAATATAAAAAGGGTTACAAAAGTGGATTGCGAAGGACAGTGCCGTTTAGTATTACATAATATGATGGCATATATAGCAGTGTTTTATAAGAATAATATTTACACAAAATATTTGCCACACTTTTGACAGAATAGGAAGAGTAGGCTTTGAATGGGCTTTCAATTCATTGATTGAAGTCATGCTCTGCTTATACGCGAAGCACAGCTCTAGAGATGATCTCTTCATCTCTCTATTCATCTCTTTCATCGACTCTTATTTATGTCATGTTTATAGCATTTTTAATAATCAATTTATATTTATAATATTTATTTCATTTTTCAATATTTAGAAAATGTAATACAATTACCAACTACTTTTTATGTATGTTGCCATACAGAATCTAGTAGAAAATAAATTAATAGAATTATAGAGAGAGTTTTGTGTTTATTTAAACAAAAATGTTTATCATATTATTTTCAATTCTTTGTTTTGTGGCAAACATTTGTTTAACTCAGAAAATCACTGAAGAAATCAATGATTCAAATGATTTGTTTTACGAGAACTTGAGCCCAGAATTAACATCCAATTCAAAAATATATAATATCGGAGCAGTTTTAACATCAACTCAGAATATAGACTACTTCTTGCAAGTATGGCATCATTTGTTTTAAAACTATTCAGTTATTCAGTATATCATAGTTTAAAACATTATATTAATTAATATTCACTACATATTTCATTTCAATTGTAAAATTTTTGCATTTTTATCATTTAAGTTGAGAATAATGAATAATTAATAGACAAATGTTTAACTATGATAATCAACAAATATTTCAGGCCATCGATGATTTAAATTACGATACAGACATCGTTAGCACCGGTATTACATTCCGTGGGTTTACTGTTTCGAAGGATTCAAATCCCATTAAGAATACACTAAATGTTTGCGAAAAACTCTTCTCCTCCGAGGTATTTGTCATAAAATTGCAATTAATTACAAGAACTTTCAGTTTAATAAAAAATTGTTATTTGGGCCAAAGGTGTACGGACTGGTCGTGGAGGACGCCTCGCCATCGGATTCAATCATATATACGACAACATTTCATAACATCCCGACGATCGGCATTTCCAGTCGCGAGGCCTTACTATCAGACAAAAGTATTTACACGACTTATGGCCGAACTGTGGCCTCGTATGCAAATCAGGCGGACGTTTGGGTGGAGATTTTGGACCACTTTAACTTCAATTGTGTTGTTTTCATTCACAGCAATGATATCAACGGAAGACGCGTTCAAAAGAGGTTTGAAGTGTTGGCCGACGCCTCCAATATCAAAGTGGAGACAGTCATTGAATACGAGCCCTCTTTCCCGGATATCTCTAAGCCTTTGGAGGAAACAAAGTTGAGCTCTACTTGTCGTGTGTTTATAGTGTACACCGATTATGAAGACTCTGCGGCCATATTCCAGCAGATCATTCACCTCAATATGTTTGACGCCGGATATGTTTGGATTGTCTCAGAACAGGCTCTTATGGCTAAGAATAGGCCGACCGGACTCTTGTCCGTCAAGTTGCAAAATGTTGACAACACTGAGGGACACATCAGAGACAGTGTTTTCATATTGGGATCCGCTATAAAAGACATGTATTTCAAGAACAATATTACAAAACCTCCGTCAGATTGCAGAGATTTAGGTCGAAACAAATGGGAAAGCGGTTTAAGACTATTTGAATATATTAAGAAACAGAGTCTATCGCCGGGAAAGACAGGTCACGTGGCTTTCGATGAGAGGGCCGACCGAATCGATTCAGAGTATGAGATCATTAATGTTAATAACAATCAAATGAATGAAGTGGTCGGACAATACCACTACTCTCACAGCACATCAAAAATGATCTTAACTTTAAATGAGAGTAAAATAGTTTGGTCTGAAAACAGTCCGACCAAACCATTTGGTTACGAAGTGCCCAACCATTTCAGAGTGGCCACAATTAATGAGAAGCCATTTGTTTGGGTCAGTCCTGCCGATGTTGACGGCTATTGTCCGCCGCGACAGATCCCATGCCCTCTCTTCAACTCGACGACCGGAACGGAACATAAATTCTGTTGCGAAGGCTATTGCATGGATTTGCTGAAGACATTAGCTTTTCAGTTGAATTTCACGTATTCTTTACATCAGGTGGAGGACGGACTGTACGGCGGCTTCAGTTTTGTTAACAATTCTCAGCGCAAAGTGTGGACGGGTTTAGGTATAGGCTCTTACAGGACATACTCATGAGTAGCGGTAAACATAACTAACAATTAATTTCTACCCAAATAGTAGGCGAACTCTATTACAACAGAGCGGATATGGTTGTGGCGCCCCTCACCATAAACCCCGAGCGATCTCTGGCCATAGAATTTACAAAACCATTCAAATATCAGGGAATAACTATTCTGCAAAAGAAACAATCGATTCATAGACTCCGTCACCCGTTGGCCTCATTTCTGCAGCCCTTCCGCAACGGTTTATGGGTGTCTGTGTTTGTGTCCGTACATGTGGTGGCGCTGGCCCTCTATCTCCTCGACAGATTCAGTCCATTCGGAAGATATAAACTCCCGAACTGTGACGCCACTGAAGAGGATGCGCTCAACCTGTCGAGTGCCATATGGTTCGCGTGGGGAGTCCTTCTCAATAGCGGTATAGGAGAGGGAACTCCACGAAGTTTTAGCGGTCGAGTGTTGGGTATGGTTTGGGCGGGTTTTGCGATGATTGTGGTCGCCTCCTATACGGCTAATTTGGCCGCTTTCCTAGTGTTAGACCGACCGGAGACACCCCTCACAGGCATTAATGACCCGAGACTTAGGAATCCCAACCCAGACTTCAATTACTCGACAGTGAAAGACAGTTCAGTTGACATGTATTTCCGACGACAAGTGGAACTGACGAATATGTATAGAAGAATGAGGACTATGTATGAGAACGCAGAGGACGCCATCGCAGCCGTGCGATCAAGTATTGTCCAACTCGTGGATCAATCACTTCCACAAAACATTAACCCACTTATCTTTGCAGACGAATTGAGTGCATTTATATGGGATTCGGCGCGACTGGACTTCGAAGCGGCCAAAGACTGTGAGTTAAGCACATCCGGAGAGCTGTTCGGGCGCTCGGGTTATGCGATAGGACTGACAAAAGGGAACAGTTTTTGGACCAAAAAAGTGACTCTCGCTCTGTTGGGAATGCATGAAATCGGTTATATGGAAGAGTTGGACAACAAATGGATTTTTCTGGACGAACAGATCTGTGAGGAGAGGAGTGAGAACTTTCCGGCCACTCTTGGGCTCAAGAATATGGCCGGAGTTTTCATATTAGTCGGAATCGGAATATTCGCCGGAATCGGACTCATTATGTTTGAAATCGTCTACAAAAAGCGGTCGACATCTAAACAAAAGCGCATAGAATTGGCCCGAAATGCTGTCGACAAGTGGAAGGAAGTGATTGAGGTATGACTACCTGTCCATTAGTAAACCATTTGTAGTAATTTGGATATAATTTGTTAATTAGAGCAGAAAAACACTGATTGAGAATCTAAATCAAAGTGCAAAACAACGTCTCTTCCAAAAGCGTAAACACAGATATAATCAAAGTTTAAAACACGACGAGACATACGACGAGACATACTTCGAGACCCCTTTCGACACAACGCCCTATACTGTGGAGAAGGGTCTGAATGCCATTAAAGGGGATTTGAGTGATAAATCTCAAGAGATTCGGCCGAGACTTAGGAGAGAGGGTTCGTTAGGCAGTGAATCAGAACTGAATGTCTCGCAAATTGATTTGCAATTTCCCAAAATTACTGGTAATACCAAGTCTTCATTCAAATCATCTAAATCTCGGACTCAGATTCCCAGCGCAACCACTAATTACTTAAGTCTAGTCTAAATGCTATGAGAAGGGGGTTCAAGAATAACAAATATTTTATGATTAAGCAATAATTATTATTAAAATGCATTTATATATAAGTTTTTGAAATTTACCGTACAAATGATTTGTTGGATAATCATTACATAAGTATATAAACCAAGAGTTTGCAGTTTTCAAACAAATGAAATTAGTGCTAAATCTATTGATTTTTTAAAACTTTAAATTTTATGCAATTTTTACAATTACTATATTATGGTTATAGATTATATTCTATTATAAATTAAGAGTTATAAATAATATACAAACAATTGTAATAAAAATGAATAAAGACTTAAATCAATGAATAATTTAATCAGTATTCAAATGAAGTGCTTTCTTAACCTTTACGTGACATAACTCTACATCAGCGCCGATAGATTGAAGAAAACTAAGCCATAAAAGCTGTTTATTTGATGGTTTATCACTTGGACCCTTCACTTCAACCGCTTTTATTTGTTTAGTAGATGTGTTCCAAACCAATAGATCCGGAAAACCACTTCTTGTGTGTCGGAAGTCTTTAATAAGTCGTTCGCAAATGTCTGTTATAATCGACGGTCCAAAACAGGTACAACCGCTTTTATTTGTTTAGTAGATGTGTTCCAAACCAATAGATCCGGAAAACCACTTCTTGTGTGTCGGAAGTCTTTAATAAGTCGTTCGCAAATGTCTGTTATAATCGACGGTCCAAAACAGGTCGCGATTTCCTTATTTATAAATCAATTATAATTAATTTATACAAAACAAATGATTAAACATTTAATTACTTTAATTTGATTTATATCTGCATTTTCCCAATTGAGTAGAGAAACGGTACCGAAGTTTGAATTCCAAGAGTTCTCTAATATATTATTCATTTGGATTTGAGTCATATTTTTTAAAGTATTCAAAAGTGAAATGATTTGTGATTTGCGGCGAACGAAGAATTGGTCGCAATTGAAGTCCAACGGACAGCGTTGGTATTGAAAGCGAAAGCCATCGCAAACATCAAACCCGTCGCTCATGTATATAATGTCCCAAAACAAGAGCACAAGTATTTGGTGGTAGACGCGACCCTCTGTGTGCACACCATCTGTAAAGCCATTATTTTTGTAATGATTTATACAACCGCTTTTATTTGTTTAGTAGATGTGTTCCAAACCAATAGATCCGGAAAACCACTTCTTGTGTGTCGGAAGTCTTTAATAAGTCGTTCGCAAATGTCTGTTATAATCGACGGTCCAAAACAGGTGGCGATTTCCTTATTTATAAATCAATTATAATTAATTTCTACAAAACAAATGATTAAACATTGAATTACTTTAATTTGATTGATATCTGCATTTTGCCAATTGAGTAGAGAAACGGTACCGAAGTTTGAATTCCAAGAGTTCTCTAATATATTATTCATTTGGATTTGAGTGATATTTTTTAAAGTATTCAAAAGTGAAATGATTTGCGATTTGCGGCGAACGAAGAATTGGTCGCAATTGAAGTCCAACGGATAGCGTTGGTATTGAAAGCGAAAGGCATCGCAAACATCAAACCCGTCGCTCATGTATATAATGTCCCAAAACAAGAGCACAAGTATTTGGTGGTAGACGCGACCCTCTGTGTGCACACCATCTGTAAAGCCATTATTTTTGTAATGATTTATAACAATGTCTTCGACACTCATGACAGTCACGTCCCCATTAGGATCAGTAGTTTTAAAGTAATTTTTTCTATCATTTTTATCATTTGGACATTTTATAGATTCAGCGAATATAGTGTTTTCTGAGAATTTCATGCTTTCGTATTCAACGTCTACTAAAACATTATATTTGACTGATTTTTGCAGTTTTCGCTGACGTTTATACAAAGCTAATCGATGGCCCGTTCGCACAAAACTGTCATTTAAACCCTTTTCTATCACTACTATCGCAGATTCAGTGTCTTTCAAGTGTTTATCCAAATCAAGAGCCAGTCTTTCAAACCAATAGCCTCTTCGGTCGCAGCAATAAATCATTTGATTTAAGAGAATCTCTTTTAATATGTAAACGGCTTTCACGTAATTCTTCTTCTGTTCCAAAACAGAGACACAATGAGAGAGACACCGGATGTATGACTGGCCGCCAGTATATGAACGCAAAAATGTTGGTAAGAGAGCATCGCATTGATCTTCTTTGTCTTTAATCACATCCATATATATCTGTTCCGCTCTTACCATCAAACTGTCCACCACTTCATCCAAATTCCTCTTTTCAATTGCCGACAAGATTTCAATTTCCAATTTAAAGGCTTCGCTGTAACGGAGTCTTTAATCACATCCATATATATCTGTTCCGCTCTTACCATCAAACTGTCCACCACTTCATCGAAATTCCTCTTTTCAATTGCCGACAAGATTTCAATTTCCAATTTAAAGGCTTCGCTGTAACGGACCAATTGGTCACGAGTTTTATAAATCACTTCATGTCTATTGATTGAATATTTAGTGTACACTTCTTGTCCGCTTTCGGCTTTCATTTGTTTGAAACTAAACAACAATATATGAATCAATAGTAACTGAATGTACTGTAAGTACACTAAAGCTTACAATTCGTAATTGAAATGAGTGTTCAATTCCTCTTCATTGATGTCCGGCTGACAGTAAAGCAAAAACATTCTCTCAAACGGTTCGCAAAGACTTTCATTCACTTTAAAGCACTTGTCTCTCAAAACAGATCTAATTCTGTGATATTCATAGCAATGGTATTGAGTTGATTGTCACCAATAATGTGAAAGGAAAGCAAACATACGATTTAAGAAGTGCCTGGCTCACTGCATCCGATTGGGTATCACTTTTGATGACTGATCGACACGTATTGATATACTTGAGAATAGCGGGTATTATATTCCTCTTAGTGTTCAAACCATTCATATTGAGACCATTCAATGAACGGCCGATTTTCTTGATCTCCATTGTGTCCAATATATCCATCGCTTCCTTCAGATTTGTTAATTGAATCTCTGTTTCAATTGAAGACAAACTTTTGAAGAAACAAATTACAAACAAATCATTGATTAGATTGCAAACCATTGAAGAGGAAGTTATTGTCGACCAGTTCTCTGATGATTGGATGCAAATTATCTGCAATTTCTGGGTATTTGATACCACTCTTGCGGATCCAATGCTTTTTTCGCATAAAAAGTCTCATTAATAACATTTGTGCCAAACCTTCAACAAATCAAATCATAGATTACGTGAACGTAATGTCAGACCAATTAAGTGATAATCACCTGAAAGACAAGTGAATGATTGGATGACATTCATGTCATTGGCATCAAACAGATGGGAGAAGTCTTTGTCACTCAACACAAAGTCAATCATCTGTCGGAAGTTGTGGTAAACATAGGATCCCTTCATATAATTGTCTTCACATGTGGTGATGTCCTCCGATGAGTCAGTCGTGTGTTTGTCATCGACAGTGAAATCAATTTCCAAGAAGTGGTTCAAATCAATGAACTCTTCGTTGGACACGTCTCTCAACACATCCAATGCATTAGACTTGTGTCCACTTCCGCCGACTGTCTCCGAGTGGTTCTCATTGTGCGCACAGACATCGTCGTCGTCGATGACTATGGGATCCGATTTGAACGACTTGTTCCCACTTTTGTTGAAATAGTCTAAAATAGACTTTTGTTTGCGTTTATTGTCGTTATTACCACTCATTATGACGGCGACTATCACTACGACTATCACTACGATTGGCGTCAATGTCTTAATTCATACACAAGTCATACAAATGCATTCAAATTCATTCATAAATGAGTCTTAAATCACATGGAAATGAAACACTAGTTTTGCGCCAAAACTACAACAAAACAAATCAAATGTCATTCACATATATAGTGACCATATTTTTGACACAAACCCTCCATTCATGTTGTTTGCGAATTTAATGACTAGGTTAATTATGTACATTAATTATATGCCATGGCATTCAATTCAATTAACACCAATCAATCATTTAAGCCCCAAAACATGCAATATTTAGGTTAGTTATGTAGTATAAGTGAGTGAATTAATTTAGTATTAATCCTATTGGTGACCATAAAACATTTGATTTTATGATAAGATAAATGAGTTAGTCTAATTTGTAGTTGTTAACAGTTAAACTTAATTATATTTTAAATAAACTATTTGACAGTGCAGTATAATTAAATTTAGATTAATTAAATTACTTTTATAAATGATTATATAAATAGTTTACAAATATTATATATGATATAAACCATATTCCATGAATTAAATATAAAGTTGTATTTTAATATATCATATATCATAACATTGCATTAATTCGAACAAATGAAACACATATTGATCCAGTGACACTTACAATTGTTTTTATTAATATTTATAAAAATAATTGTTCATATTTATTGCACAAGAGTTATGAAAATTTAAAGATTTAATAAAAATTATAAATATTTATACTATTAATGTTATCATCTCTAATCAAAATATAATTATTGTATTAATAATATGTATAAATGTATTGATTTAAATTTAATTATTTAATTAATTATGACAAACATTTAATTTTTGTTGAATATTCAAACGATGCACTCATTATTTCATAATCTTAAACTCAATACTGCAATATTAAATCCTAATTTATACTTACAACTTACAAGTTAGTATTTGATACTTTTATTAAATTCTTACCTTTAATATAAAATCTATTTGTAATAAAATTAATTATTTAATAGTTTGAATTGAAATAAAGTTAAAAATTGTAGAGATTTGATGCAATAGTAGTGTGATGTAAGACATGATAAGACATCCAACGGATCCGTCACTTGTGTTTCCCTCTCGGTTCAGACCAAACCATCCTTTTATCGATTCATTTCTTATTTATTTATCTCTCGTCTAAATGTTTATTATTCTTTCATTTCCTAACATTTTCTCATTTATTTCAATTTTATTTTCTATTTAAATCACATTAGTATCTAAAATAAAAATGAAAATAACGTGGATACTTTTTATTTTAATTGTGAGTTATATTTTTATCTTTTCATTCACTAAATCATCAAATGTTGGAAACGATTATGTGATTAAAGTGAATGCATATAATTTCAATGAATACGTATACAACCAAAGGACCATTACTTTAGTCAACTTTTATCTCAATTGGTGTCCGCATTGCATAGCATTCTCAAGCATTTGGAGGCAATTTTCCGAAGATATCAATGCATGGAAATCAGTGGTAAGAGTGGCAGCCTTTGATTGCGGCGCCGATGCCATCAATGGACAGCTATGTTCAAGACATGGCATCACTCGCTTCCCCCGCAACCGTGTATTTCCTATGAATTCACAAAACCATGATTTGGGACAACATTTTGAATCACCAGAATATGTGGTATCTCTTCGGACACACCTTATTGATTGGATCCTCAAATCAGTTCAAAGTTCTGACTTGAATCTCAACTTATTTCCAATTTCTATCGCATCTAAAGAGGAACTCTTCAATGCATTTCCCATTCAGTTAGAAAAACCTAACCTAATATTTCTGGAGAAATATCCGACACATCTTGGAGTTGAGGTCTTGTAATGTTTCAAACATATCATTTGAACTGAAGTTTAATTAAATTTAAATTCATTACTTTTATGTTTAAAATTTACAGATAGTTTTGGACTTTTCTTCGTATAGAGAATATATTAATATAATCCGAGTCTATGACAGATCCGGCGGTTTAGCGGATCAACTCTTCCCCCATTCACTACGTCTTCCGGCACTCATTCAGATGCATAGAAACCAATCCTTTGAATTGATTGCCAGGTATTCACTATTTCCCATTATATTCTTAACTGTTTTTGTATTTTATTGTATATAATGTTTTATCAAACTTAGTGCTCATTCAGACAATGAACAGCTACTTCGTCAAGCATTTGGAGATAAGATTAAAAGTAATTTAAATATTGATACAAATGATAACATAATTATTACGGATGACGTAAAAATGGTCAATAAGTCTGTGACCCCACGGACTCCTCTACCCTTAAGTCTGGCCGATCTCTACAATACTCTCCGATACTCTCTTCACAAAGAAGTGACTCGTTTTCAGACATTGAATTCAACGCAAGTCTCAGTTCTTAAGAAATATTTTTCTGTTGTCTATAAATACTTTCCGTTTGATAACGAGAATGTTCGCCGATTTTTCAAACGAATGAAACATTGGTTCGCAAACAAAACCAAAGAAATAAAAATTGATAATTTCAAGGCAGCCATGAAAATAAGTGACGGATATTTGCCACCAATCGTTCAATGGAGACATTGTAGTGCAAGTAAATCCCATTTTCGTGGCTATCCGTGCGGTTTGTGGTCTATGTTTCACGTGATGACAGTCAAAGAATATTCTATGAATTCCACTCATAATAGTCACGAAGTGTTGGATCTAATGCGAGACTTTGTGATCCACTTCTTTTCGTGCGAACACTGCGCCAAACATTTCGAAAAGACTTCCAGAAGATTGAGTTCTGTCTTAACCACTGCCGAGAGCTCTGTTCTATGGCTTTGGAGAGTTCATAATCAGGTGAACCATAGGACTAAAGGCAGTGAAAGCGAAGACCCTTTCTTTCCCAAAATACAATACCCTTCCCATCAAATGTGTAGTCAATGCTATCAACAAAACAATGAGTTCAATGAAACCAATGTTTTAGATTTCCTGCACAAAACTTATAGCCAAAAATTCTTAACTAAAAGCGCCGACTATTTTGCGGAACAAAAAATTCTGAATAAGAATTCTGTCAACTTATTAGCCGTTAATCCTTTCGTTTTTAGTTTACTTTTTGCTATTATTTTAAACAATTTATAAGTTCATTGCCATATATTCAGGATACAGTCCACGAGTAAGAATAACAGTATATTCAATACTATTTATTATAATTTATTTGTAATTTATATTTTGTATCTTTTCTTGTTTTTATTTATTTGCTAATTTAAAATGAAAGTGATTTGACAAAACAAAAAAATTATGTTAAAAAATACATTTAATGTTGATTTCATGCACTGATATCATTGGATTAAGTAAAGCATAGAATTGCAATTTAAATGAGCTTCCAGTTATACTCAATACTGAATGTTGATAAATTATCCTTTTTAGTATTACAATTTGTTAAAACGCCCTATATTTATATTATTTTGTGAATATATCTCATGAATATTCTGTAAAAAGGTAAAAACAAAATCTGAATCAATTTAAAATATCCTATCAAATCTAATTATTGAGAATATGTTTTAAGTTTTCCTTTTGATTTCATATTCAAATAAGAAGTTTTCAATTTATTTATTTACAATGTTGTCAATGTTTCCCTATTTGAGAATTAACTGATCAGTATAAAACACCACTTGTGAAAATGTTAGGTATTTTTGAATGTGATTTAAATCAGTATTATAATGCAATAAAGATAGTCTTTGATAAATAGTTAATATCATCTCAAAATGTTTATTAAAATAATAGCATAATAGTATTTAATTAATTTAAAAATTATAGGTGATATGCACAATATTCTTTGTAACTCCACGTTGACTCAAATTCTTAATTAACTCAAAGTAATTTAAATATTTTACAAATTTGTTAAATAAATAATTCTCCCAAAATATATCTAATTTAAAATTTGAATTATAAATTAATCAATTTACTTATCTTAATATTAAGAAGAATTAATTAGCATACATATAAGTAATTGAAATGATTAATAATGCACTATTGTTTAAGTAAGTTAAAATAAACAACGATTATTAATTAATTTTTGCAAAAATAAATATAACTTCCTTATGGGTGCTTAAACCGTATTATAATTTGCAAATTAGCTAAGTTGTCCAAAAACTTGTCACTTTCATTTCATTTTTATCTCGTTTGATAGAAAGGATTTTTAATTACTGATATTATCTAATAGTTTTTAGTTTTATCTAAATTCTCCAAAACATTAAGGTAATTGTTATGATACACTGCTAAATATTTGAATAATATGTTAATCTGAATAAAAAAATTATTGTTTCTAAAAATGTTGCAAGAATTTATAATTCTATTAAGAAAAATTTAGATAATTTTTAGATTATAACCAAATATTCTATAATTTGTTAAATTATTTAGAATATACTTTTTCAATTCAATATAGCATATTTATAGTTTTAATATTTAATATGTCTACACAAAACCTATTTATAATTCACACCATATGAATTTATTTATTTAAATAAATTTATTAATGTTAAGATATTAAAACATATTTTACTGGTTTGTTGATAGAGGCAATAAATAAATTATAAAATAAATGTATATTTTGAATTGTGTTTCATTTAGTATAACTTATGAATTTGTATTATGAAAATATTTACCAAAGTTTACAATTGATCACATTTTGTTTTGATAAAGTTTTGAAATAAAAACTTTCATCAGTTGTTTGATAAGTTTCCATGACTTCAGTTTGCATTTGAGTTGACGTTTAAGTTGGGATGAAATTCAGACAAGAATTGGCAAAGAATTAGTAGAGAATTGGCAGACATTCACATTTGGTTACATTATCGCATAACCAGAGCTCACTTCACCATCACTTCACGACTTTTGTAATCAATGAATGGAGTCTTTTCAACATTTGGGATAAGTTTTGACAACTATTGAGCGTTCAGTTTAACACTCAATAGTAAATGAGTTTCAACTTAATTATGAATTGAATATTTGATCATTTTTCTATCATCTAATGGTAAGCTTAGTTTGCAATTGTTTATTATTACATTACAATTGAATCATCAAGCGCATTAAAACATAAAAATATAAAAATAAAACTTATATGTTATTCAAATGTTGGCATGGATTTCATGTCTTATAATTAGTACTTAACTTAATGTTCATAAATTTTAAATTTTATAAAAATTTCTTCACATTTGTAATTACCATGTTTTGTAAAGTTTCATACAATTATTGTTTTAATTTACTTTAATTTATTATTTCCAAATCCAGATTAATTAATTGTTTAATTTTTTGTATTCATAGTCCAATTGTTAGCTAATAAGTGAATACAGTATATTCACAAATTATATATACAGTATATATACAATATATACAGTATATTCAGGAATTCATTTGAAAAACTACAGTGTATTTTATAATTATTTACTTTGTGCATACAATTCTATACATTTAATTTTATTTATTTATTCTAACAAAATATTCCACTTTTGAATATTTCAACGATTACTCGTTTATAAACACAATAAATATGTAATTATTTAAAAATTGTTTGCAAATATTTTTATTTTGCTCGAAACTTTCAAAACTTGAAATGCTGTGAAATGTGGTATTTATCTAAAATCTACTCAATTCTCGCGATCTCTGTGTGAAAGCAAATAAATTTTCATTTACTAAAAATAATCGACTCGTTTGAGTCGGCCGTCATTTGCGTGGTATGTCTCGTATGTCTCGACTCGAGTGTTGGGTTAAGAGAGGCTTCAAGAAGATATCGTTTATATAAATCTTATGTTTGCTCTTCTTTTTCAACTCAATCCCAATGAGAGTCGAGATTCCCTATGCCTTTGCTTACCTAACCATTTGATTCACATATAATTCATTTTTCAATTTTCAATCCAAACGACTGGATAACTACCAAAATATGTGTTTTACTACTTCTTTAATTCCTTAAAATATTTCTCTAATCCCAGAATCAAGTGATTCCTGTTTTAAATGAATGTATTTTTAACCATTCGTTTCATCCATTTTGTGTACAAATAACTAACTTAGGGGTAGAGTATGTGTTCACTAATTAATTGTATGCTTTAAACTGAAAACATACTAATTATTGTCACTCTCATTAAATGTCACTTTTCTTTTAAAAATTGATTTTTTAAACGAAACATCTTTTCTCTCATTTGTGTAAAACATATCTAAATCTTTATTTTGACACAATTTTTCTTAAACACCATTAATATTTCATTAAAGTGTACAAGATATCCCTTGAAAACCATTTTGCAATTTAAAATAACACTCTCTCAGAGAATACTCTCAAATGAAATTATCATTTGTTTTAGTTTTTATTCATTTCTATAATTAGAGGCCTCTATAACGAAAAAATGTCTAAAAATAGAAAATTATATATCATTTCAATTCTTATTCACAATATTTTCTCTCAATTCTTCAAAATACTGTTTGTTTTATAAAACGTTTATTTGAGTAATATTTCTTAATTACCGGTAATAAATAATTATTTAACTTAAATTAAATTCTGCATTTAATTAATGAAAACTTAAAATATTTAAGATATACTGTATATTTTGTAAAATTATCTAAATTGACATTTAAAAAATAATCAGATATTCTAAAAATATTTTCCAATTACATAACAATCGATTGACTGATGAGTTAAATGCAATTGTGTTTCAGTGTATGAAATGAAGTAACGAAGTGTTGATCTTATGTTGGAATTGAGGCCAAAATGATCTAAAAAATGAATGCCAACAGACAGAGCAGTATTCATAAAATCCGAGAAATCAAATTGGAGGCACTTTATATCGATAGGGATTACGATGTGTTGAAAGAGATCGGTTCCGGTGATTATGGGAAAGTCATATTAGCCGTTCATAGAGGCACCAGTTCTGAGGTGAGTGTCTGCCACCAGTGAAAACTTGTTTCCCAATATCATCATATCATTATATCATTTACTCGATCTTAAGGTGGCGTTAAAAGCCGTGCCAAAGGCCACGACAACTATCAAAGACTTTTTGATGGAATTTCATTACAGCTATTTCCTATCCCCTCATAAAAACATTTCAGACACATATGATGTGGCCTTCGAGACCTCCGAACACTACTATTTTGCTCAAGAAATGGCACCGTTTGGTGATCTCTGGCAGGTCTGCAACCTTTCAACCAATTCTATAATTGAGAGCAAACTTTAGATTCAACTCTTTATTTGTAACACAATTTATAACTTTTTCAAACATATTCACCACAACTGACAGTCAGTCGAGAGAACAAACGGCGTCGGACTCAATGAACGCGACGTGAAAATTGGTATTCATTTGCATTTACATTGAATTGTCAATAGTTTCGACCATTTCTTATAAATGGCTTCAATTTGTGTGTTAGTTGTCGAACAGATTTGTTCTGCACTGGAGTTCATGCACGACAAGGAATTGGTTCACCGGGACGTCCGGTAATAGTGGTCGCATACACTTTCATTCATTCATTCAAATATACAATTATTTTCACACAATATAACATCAATTTTCATTTCTTATATAACTAGTGCTGAAAATATCTTAATATACTCTCCAAATCTAACAAAAGTCAAATTAACTGATTTTGGTTTAACACGAAAAGTAGGCACTTTAGGTAAGGCATGAAGACATGAGTGCTAAATGTTGACAATTATTCACTTATTGTTCAAATGATTGATACGATTAGTGAAGAAGAGGGTGAAGTCATTGCCGTCGTGTCCGCCGGAAGTGTGGGAAGCGGTGCTGTTAGAGGGCTATAACATACAGATCGGGAGCGATGTGTGGCAGTTGGCAATGATGGTCTACGTGTGTCTCACCACTCGCTTTCCATGGGATAAGGCAGACATAACTGATCCGAAATTCACCGAATTTGTTGAGTGGCAGAAACGCAAGACTACCCGAACTCCCAAAGAGTTCAGAGTATTCTCTCCACGACTTCTGCGGCTTATGAGACGACTGATGGAGTTGAAGCCAATGAAACGCTATCCGGTCACTGAAGTGAACAAATATCTGAGGGATCGATGGCTCGTCCATAAGTCTCAACGCGCCTCATCAGTGCACTCACATGTCTGTCCTATTGTTGTCAAAGTAATACTCTATTCATAATAGAATTTATATGAAAATTAGGGCGATTTCAATG